TTTCTCTCGTTTCACTCCTCTCTCACGCTGTGATTCTGCCTCTCCCTCAACTCAACGCGCGCAGATGACGTCATTCCGGGAGGCGGAGCTAGTATTTTTTTCACTCGCAGTTAAATAGATGCATTTAATTTTATCTGTATTCTACGATTATATAATGTTTCTTTTTTTCTTTTTGATAACATTGTGACTATTACAAAATACAAATAAAATTATTTTACATGTACTCCAGTTATTGTTCTTATTTATTTATTTGGTTAAAGGGCTTGATAAGGACTACAGTAACCTGGGTTACACCCTCCCCTCTCGAATACATGCAAGTCCCTTTGCATTGCACAGCAAACAGTATTCACAGATGACGCACTGGAGCAACAACTGACTTCTCTAAAGAAGAACAGAGAGCTGTATCAAGGCCTTGTAACAAAGACTGTATAACTAAGGTAAGTGGATTCCCTAACTGGGGATATTCAAACTTCTTGGGAGGCCGTCGCTCCCTCTGTGATCGTCTGAGTAAAATATAATCTGGTTCATTACAAGTGGGTTGCTCATTCTGCAAAATTTCAGTATGTCCCACATTGCTGGGTATCAGATTTTGTTCAGTTTCCCACTCAAAACTATCTAGCACATTCTTGGCTTTTTGATCAGGGGACTCACTCCAAAGCTCTGAGGATTGCTCCAACTCTGAGTTTTTCTCAGTCAGGACACATGGCACAGTGTTACTTGACTCAAGTGCATTGGCATTTTTTTCTACTTCAATTAACTCATTTGTTTCTTTTTCCACAGGTTCCACACCAGGTAAGTGTTTCTTTGCAGGTTCTTCTGGATTACTTACTACAGATTCCGGAACAGACACGTCTTCCACAGCAGGATTGAGGACTGTTAAGCTAACACCAGACTCCCCAACTGGTATGTACTCAGGACCAACAATAATTTGAGTTTCAAAACTTAATGTTCCTTCTGGCACATTACTGACGATGTGTTCCTCCTCAGATTCTGAGTTTTCGGAAATTAAGTCTGATTCCTGCATCTCATTGTTAAGGGAAAATCTGGTTAGAGGCTTCCTGGCTGGTTTCTGTTTTGATGGTTCTACAAGCTTATTTGATTGCAAAAATCCACAGGGTAACAAGAGGTCACGGTGTAAAGTTCGTAACGGACCATCCTTTCCTTCTGGTTTGACAGTATACACCGGTAGGTTATGTGCTTTCTTGACAACAACATGAACATTTTGCTCCCATTTGTCAGCTAATTTATGTTTGCCTCGCAAACGCACATTCCTCACGAGAACTCGGTCACCTTCTTCCAGAGTTAAGGCAACTACATGCTTGTCAAACCTTTGCTTGTTACGTTCTGCAATCTTTCCAGCATTTTTGGTAGCCATCTCGTAACTTTCACGTAAACGATTCTTCAAGTTTTCCACATACTGTGAGTGAGACTTGTTGGGAGTGTCCACTGGCAACCCGAATGCCAAGTCAACAGGAAGACGAGGTTGTCGCCCAAACATGAGCTCGTAGGGAGTATATCCAGTTGTATCATGCCTGGTGCAATTATAGGCATGCACTAGGGGTTTTACATACTCCTTCCACCTAGATTTCCTCTCATTTTCCAGTGTTCCAAGCATTTGGAGCAGTGTACGATTAAATCGTTCCACTGGATTCCCCCTAGGATGGTATGGGGTTGTTCTGACCTTGTGTATTCCTGCAACCTTACACAGCTCCTTGACAGTACGTGACTCAAAGTCGGCTCCTTGGTCACTATGCAGCTTCTCGGGAAACCCATAGTGTATTAAGAAGTGGTCCCAAAGACTTTTTGCAACTGTTTGGGCAGTTTGGTTTCGAGTAGGTATGGCCATAGCATACTTTGTAAAATGGTCAGTGATGACCAGAATGTTCTTAGTGTTGCTTTGGTCCGGCTCTAAGGATAGGAAATCAATGCACACCAACTCAAGGGGCCTACTTGTTTGAATATTAACCAAAGGAGCTGCTTTTTCAGGAGGTGTTTTCCGCCGAACACAGCGTTCACAGGTTTTTACCTTCTGTACCACTGCATGAGACATTTTCGGCCAAAAGAATCTTGTCCTCACAAGATCCAGTGTTCGTTCAATACCAAGATGACCCATGTCATCATGGAGACTCTGTAATACGGTGTTTCTAAGTGAGGTAGGTAAAGCCAACTGGTATGATGAAGCTCCGTGTTCCTGCCTCTTTCTGTACAGAACATTACTCCTCAACTCAAGACGCTTCCATTCCTTTAACCATAAGCTCACAGCAGAAGATATTTCCTTTAACTTACAAGGCTTAACCCCACTTTCTACTCTTTCAATGACAATTTTCAACTCTGGATCCTTTCTCTGCAACTCTGCCAAAGCAGCTTGTGAGAGATGAGGGAGACTTGGGAGACCATGTTCATCCTCATGCTGGAACTCGTATGGAAGGACATCCACACAGTGGGTAAGAGACTCAACCAAAGTAACCGAAGGGATACAATGGAGTCCTTGGGGTGACCCAACTACTTGATGCTTTTCGCAGATCGCTTTCACTACTTCTGCCATCACAACAGGTGACTCATCTTCTGACTCCATAAGATGGTGCAAAGTGAATTGCCTAATCCTTTCCCTCTCTTTTAGTGAGGTTAGGTCATCCACAAGCTCACCATGTGGCCTTCGAGAGAGACCATCTGCATCTTGGTTTTGACTCCCTGCCCTGTACTGCAGCTTAAAATTATAAGTCGATAGACTGGACAACCAGCGGTAACTGGTAGCGTCAAGTTTTGCCGAAGTTAATATATATGTTAGAGGGTTGCTATCTGTCACAACAGTAAATTCTGCACCGTAAAGGTAGTCATTAAACTTGGAAGTTACAGCCCATTTTAGTGCTAAAAATTCAAGTTTATGTGCAGGGTACCTGCTCTCACCTTTAGTCAACCCTCTACTAGCATAAGCTATGACTCGCAGCTGCCCCTCTTGTTCTTGGTACAAAGCTGCACCGAGCCCGGTGGTACTTGCATCGGTGTGTAGCACATAGGGATGTTTGGGGTTTGCAAAGCCCAATATAGGTGCAGATGTGAGATTGTCGATTATGGAGTCAAATGCATCCTGACAGTCTGTAGTCCATCGAGTGTCAAATTCCGCTTTGGGGTTGAAATATTCACAGTCTTTCTGCTTTGTGTTACAACTCTTTCTTAGAGGAGGATATCCTGCAGTAAGGTCAGTTAACGGTTTAATTATCTTTGAAAAGTCACGCACAAACCTCCTGTAATATCCAGCGAAGCCTAAAAAGGACCTTAGCTCTTTTAGGTTTCTTGGCCTTGGCCAGGTCTTTAAAGCTTCTACCTTTGCAGGGTCTGTTTCCACCCCATTGTGGGAAACAATGTGGCCAAGGTACTTCACTGAGGTTTGGAAGAACCGGCACTTCTCAGGTGACAATTTCAATCCATACTCCTTAAGTCGGTTTAGGACTTGCAACAACCGGGACTCATGTTCCTCTAAAGTATCAGAAAAAACAATGAGGTCATCAATAAAGACAAGGACTTGCTTCCGATTTAGATCTCCCATGCACCGTTCCATAATCCTTTGAAAGGTGCTAGGGGCATTTGTAATTCCCTGCGGCATACGGTTGAACTCCCAGAAGCCAAGTGGACAGACAAATGCAGTCTTGGCCTTATCAACTTCCTCCATCTCTATCTGATAAAACCCAGACTTCAGATCGAGCACAGAAAACCATTTTGAGCCCGTCAGTGTGGAGAAAGCCTCCTCTAAATTTGGTAACGCATAGGCGTCTTTTATTGTCTGTGCATTTAGCTTCCGGAAGTCAACACATAGCCGCACTGAGCCATCTTTTTTCCGGACAACAACTATGGGTGAAGCAAATGGAGAATCAGACTCCCGGATAACACCAGTAACTAGCAACTCTTGGAGGTGCCTCCTCACAGCGTCTATGTCTTGGGGATGTATGGGCCTGGCCCTTTGTTTGAATGGTGTCTCGTCGTTTAACTTTATTTGGTGCTTGACCTTCTTTGTGTGACCAAAATCCAAATCATGCAGGGAGAAAACTTCCGGCATAGAGTTTAACAGTTTTGTTATCCTTTCTTTCCAGGTCGTGGGCAGAGAGTCGCCAAAGTCAAATGTTAAGTTGGCACAGGTGGGTATTGACTCTTCAGCTTTAGCATCTGAACTCTGATGATGCTGGTTCAGGACACTTTGAATAGCATGAATCTCGGCTAACATGACTTTAGGAGGAACTGCTATGTCAGTTTGCGTGGTATTTCTTAACAGAACTGACAGCTTGGAAAGACGTTTATTTGGTAATGTGTGCAAGCAACTAGCAATAAGAAGACCATTGGGCAAAGGAATGGAGGGTGGTTCGAGTGTTACCAGTTTTTCTGTGTGGGGACCATGAAAATGGGCTTGACCCTCTAACACCACCATTCCTCCTGCAGGTACCATCTCAGGGGAGTTTCCCTTGAATTTTACATAACCAAGGGTTTCACTGCTGGCCTGCCTCCATCTAGCTTCCAACACTTTAAGCACAGCTTGATAGCCAGGAAAACTAGACTTGACATCAGCTGCACAATCTTGAGCACATTTACCATAAAGCACATCTAACGAGTTTGTTCCAACTAAAATTTGGGAAAAACTGGTTAAATCTGGAACAACTAAAGCTAATGTAGGAACCTCAACCTCTGCCCCGATGAATTCTTTGGGGAATTTTAAGGTAAGTTCGATGTACCCTAAATATGGCACAGCCTGTCCATTAGCTCCTTCTACCTCCAGTAGATTTTTCAAGGGCTCCAAAGGGAAATCAGATAAATGTGCTTTGTAAAACGAATGGGGTATTGTGGTGACCTGCGACCCCGTGTCTAAAAGGCAGTTTACCTCCATCCCCCCAATGGTGACTTGGGCTGTACATTTGGTTCCTACCAGACCTTTGGGTAAATGTTTGAAAGACACAGTGGTTTGACTGAGCTCGGGTATCTGTTTATAACATCCAGGGCGGCTATTATAAAGTTTGGCCTCCATATGCCCCGCTATAGAGACCTCACCTAGTTTAAAAACTGGGCGGGTCTTCCATGTAGGATATCCCACTGATGCTGCTGCTCTCTCAGCTTGAGCCGCTTTTCCTCAACTTTTGGAGGATTTGCAGGGTTTTCACAGTTGACTGCCAAATGCCCATCATCTCCGCATCGAAAACAGTACCCTGGCCTAGGTCTGTTAGTTCTTAAAGGCTCTTTCTTGAGAGCTCTGCCAATTTCAGTTCCAGGAGATCTCTGCATATGAGGAGCTTGATATGCTTTCTGTACAATACCTTGTGCTTGTAGCTCTGCTACCTGTCGCTGCAATCTGGCAATTTCTGATTGCTCTGGATTGTTCCCTTTTAGTCCCTCAGCAACAGATGCTTTTACAGCAGCCACCTGAACGCAAAGGTCTTCAACAGTCCTCTTTAAAGCAACTAACTCAGCCCTTTCTGATTGACCTTTAATACTCTTTTTATCAGGAGACTGTTTTAAAGTGGCGACTTGAGCTTGAATTTCTGCGACTTGTTTCTTTAAAGATCCTGCTTCGGAACTATAAGTGCTAGACACGTCGCATGCACAAGCTGATACTTGGTTTGAGATAGCTCGTGTCTTTGGGTAAACATTTGCTGGCTTTGTCATCCCAAAGTGTTTCCTCATACGCTCCTCCTTAGAAGCATTTTTGTCTTCCTGAGTTCGAATTAGTATGGTTAATTCAGCGAAGGTAAGTAACTGGCCCTCTTTTTTCTCAAGCTGAAGATCAACAATCAGGCGGCTATCCCAGCACCCTCTACAGAACTGTTTTAAAAGATAACGGTCACGTTCACTCTCTTTTATACCACCTCGCCTGATTACTGCGCTTAACAGGACTTGAAGGCGATGGAGATAGTCGGATGATTTTTCATTTTGATTCTGAAAAGTACCCATTAGTTTTGCTAACAGTTCGTCTCCATCTTCAACAGAACCATAAACGGACTCCAGCAACTCAAGATAGACAGCAGGAAGGGCTGGGGGACGCACATGTTTAACTACATCTGCGGCTGGAGGTAAGAGACTGTCCAGGATTTTACGTGTTCTATGCAGGTCTGAAATAGATGGGTCATTAAGCAAATAGTCAACACTGGCACGCCAGGTGTCATAATCAGGTTCGTTAGGGGGGCGGGGACTCTTCCCTGAAAAGACCCTAAGACGAATGGATGTCTGCTGAGACATCATGGCATCACTCGTTTTTACTACATGCTCAACTACCATTCTTTGAACCTGGGCATCGCCCATTATGTTTGTCGAAGAGGAAGGAAAAACTGTTGTAAGGTTATCATCAGCGGTAGTTTCGGGTAAAGGCGGGGACACATAAATGATTCTATTCTTGGTTGGGTTTTTGGATTCGGAATCTTGGGGGTCTATCTCTGCTACATTAGGTGACTCAGAAATCAGAGTGTTATCTCTAGACTGTGTGTCAGCAACCTCTATCTTTTGAGATTCTGCTAGAGTTTGGTCTACTGAATGAGTTTCTTTAAGTTTCTCTAACTCCTCCTGCAACACGGTTTGGAAAGGCCTTCCACTCTCTTTGGCTATGGCCTTCAATTGCTCAAGGTACCCTTCAGTGGCAGTGCTAACGACAGGTGGGTCACACACAGCGGCTAAAGCGCGTACCCGAAAGGTAATGCTTGGATCAGAAAGACTTCCCAAAGTCAGGGGCAAATGGGGATGCAAAGTTTGAAACGCAGAGTTTTCATTAAACTCCACAATCAGCAGCTTGTGAAAGTCTGATGCTGGGTCATCAATTATCACGTTGCGACGAATAGAGCCGTATCTCAGCAAATATGCTTCCAGCTCATTATCTAACTCAGTTAACGTTAGACCGCTTACTATGAGAGAGTTCGCTACAGTTATATTTTCTCGTCTTACGACATCCATTATGACAGCTCAATTTTTTAAAACGGTTTGCTACTGATAGAATTCCCTTTTTCTTGTTGTTTGACACCCTTGCTGCAATAATTAGACTCCTGGCTGGCTCGCCAACTTTACTGTAACCCGCACGATATAGAAACCAAGGAAATTACAATATTATACTATCAACTTTGGACCAAGTTATCAGAAGTTAAGTTCGCTCTGGAGCCAACTTTGCAGCAAGACAAGGGAAATGATGACACAAGACAGGAATTTTTGTATCAAAATATATATGATTTATATTGTAAATATTAGTGAGAAATGAAATAAATTAAATAAAATAACAAACTAATTATTCTCAAATTTGGACTTTGAAATGTATATTTCCCCAAATATAAAGTAATAAAATAAAATAAAGGCTTTTCACACTATGTCAAGTGTTTTCTTCACAAAAACAAAATGTAAAAGGTAAATATAAACAACTTCAGCACTCCTCAGGTAAGTAAGACCATAGTAATAATTGAAACACTTCAATTAGGGAAAAAAACGGCTAGAAAATTGAACCCAGAAAATAATTTCTTGTCAGATACCAAAGTGATTCGGCTAAATGATTCACTAGTCCATCAAACAAATATGATTGGTCACCTCTTTGGTTGCGAAATGTTCAAGTTCAGTTTAATAAACTCAAATGTTTATAATGCACCCGTTGCAGTGTTTTGTTTTAACACTGATTAGTAGCTCAGTTCCAGAAAAATAGAACTAAATATGACTCTGGCTTCCAGTCGTTCCTGTGTCCGATAGACGATGGAAAATATAAACTCAAATTTCCTACCAATCAGATGAATTGGGCAACACGAAATATTGGTTCCATAAAACCGGGCGGCTCGCCAGTTTCCACCAACAGCGAATGTCCTCCAAGATGGCAGAAACAAGAATACTTTGGACTTCTAGAACTCCACACTCCAAATGTCAGGTGTCAGGATCACGAACAGAGGAGATGGAAAAACAAAAACAGAGGAAAAGAACACACAAAAAAAAAAACCCAACCTTGAAAAGACAAGGTGGAAAGGCACCATTAATTTCCATTCACCTTTCAACAATGAATATAAATCAGTGCATACAATCAGTTCTCACATAAACTTAACTAATTTAAATAAAATAGGATAAATGTACAATAAAGTATCAACTCTCATATTAAACCACATTATCTTCACTACAATTGCAATTTCGTATTTGTATATAGCTATTAAACTGAAAAAACATCTTAATAGATGCACTCACATTCTGTTAGCATGCTAGTTTAAGCACACGGTTAGCAAAACACATGTGAGCCATTTGCACATGCTAAAAGAGCACATGGACAACTGCAAATGTCCGTTTGTAACACTAATACACTTCCCAAAAACATTTAAACAGCAGATTTGCTCTTAATCCGCACTTAGATTCACATTAATGTGCATTTTAACCATTTAACATACATTCAGACTATATTTATGAACCATTTACACCATAAATGACTTATAACAATCACTTTTAGTGAAATACAATAATATAAAATTCACTCACCAAGAAATATAGTAGTTATAGTTGAAGGAAAAATCACTTATGAACCAAAAAAAAAATACAGCCTAATCAGATCTGTGCTTCAGACGATTCCTGTCCTTGGTCCAAACGCGATTGGGGGTTTGAGTACGGACAGTAGTATATTACAGCAACTAAATCAAGTTTCAACTGCTTGTTTTACTTCTAATTTCTCAAATTTTACAGCTATACACGACGCGGGCCGCGAGCTCGCTTCAGCTGTTCACGTTTCTCTCGTTTCACTCCTCTCTCACGCTGTGATTCTGCCTCTCCCTCAACTCAACGCGCGCAGATGACGTCATTCCGGGAGGCGGAGCTAGTATTTTTTTCACTCGCAGTTAAATAGATGCATTTAATTTTATCTGTATTCTACGATTATATAATGTTTCTTTTTTTCTTTTTGATAACATTGTGACTATTACAAAATACAAATAAAATTATTTTACATGTACTCCAGTTATTGTTCTTATTTATTTATTTGGTTAAAGGGCTTGATAAGGACTACAGTAACCTGGGTTACACCAAGACAAACACAACCGAACACTTATTTAGCCTGACAAAGCGTGTTCAAATGTAAGACAGTTTTCTTTGTTTTAGAATTTAGAGGCGCATACTAGCTGAAAAGTCCACATCCTAAAAGAAAAAAAGTGCATTTTTAAAAAGGATCAATATTAAGCTGTCCTTTGTGCATTTCACAACAGATGTGTCTTCTTTTTCTCTCTCAAACACAATGCCTGTTATTGACCAGCCACTACATGGCAGGTTCAGGTTCACCTGTTGCTTTGCTTTCTTCCTTTGCACTGGTTATTGATTTTGGCAACCAAACAATGAATTAATGTCTTTGCACATCAGATGAGTAATGACTGCATTAAGCTATCAGAACTTTCTATGGCACAAAGAACTGAATTAAGGGTGACAAAAAAAAACAAAAAACTAATTCCCAATGCAGTTATTGGTAACTATTTTACACCTCATTCTTTACACAATAAACAATAATACAGTGCACTTACCGATACCGACAGATATGTTTGTCATTTCATATTAAACAAAAACATTCAACACATTAAATCTACATTTGAAGGGGAGTTGGTATGTGCGATAATATAATGAACATTTCAACAAAGCTCAAGCTCAGAATTTCAATCAATTCAAATACAGTAAATGTTTTGTACATCACTAGAATTAGCTTTAGCAAAAAATGTTATTTATTATTTTTTTAATGACAATTTATTATAGCAGGGTCCTGTCCTGTCCACAAAAATCTCATGTTAAGAACCATGATGTACTAACTTTGACTTGACATTGACTTTGATTACAAAACATTTATTTTTAAGTCTTAAAAGTTCACAATAACCCCAATAACATTCCAGAAATTTCACAATGAGTGCCCTATAAAAGGTTAAAAGATGAAGAGCTATGCAAGGGATATTTGTAATGGTACTGGCTATAACTGGATGGTAAATGCTTGACTAAGGCATTCTTCTTAACACCTAATATCAGATTGCCAGAATGGCTTTTTTAAAATAAATTGTTAAAATATTGGTGTTAGTTTTGAACACCAAGATTTTGTAAGAATTTTAATGTGTAAGAACACTTTAAATTCCACTCAAAAAACACAAAATTCATAATTTCAAAATTCATGTGGATCAAGTCTGGAGTATGCACACAAAGTCTCCTGGCTTCTTTATTTATTTCACATTCAGTTATTCTTTGTGTTGTTGTTAATGCCTATAGAAAAAAATTTCTATGAACAAAAAATTACCACAAGTCAAAAGCAGCAAAACAACCACTATTTGTGTCATTGCCATTGCATTATTCTGCTTTAAATCACTTTAAATTATAAAGTCAGAAACAATGCTTACTTTTTGTATGCCAAAATAAAATTGGTCTTTTTAGGTACTTCATTGCATTTATGTTCAGAAAAAAACAAACATCTCCTCACCACATCTCCTCATTGTCATCATGAATAAAGCTGCATTATTACACTATAATAAATATTTTAATTTGATAGCTTTTTGGATTTAGTCCTAAGTTCCTAACCCTGGAGTAACAGCAGTTCTTTCTAAAAAGAAGAATTAGCATGTTTGTCTCAGAGCAACATGGTGGTGTTTGTTTTAAAAACAAATCTGTTTTTATGAACAATTAATCAACCTGTGCTCTGTGTCCTAATAACCCAGTATGGTGATGAGGACACCATACTGTCAGTGAGTGCCATTTTTTTTTCGGATGAGACGTTAAACCGAGTTCCTGACTCTCTGTGGTCATTAAAAAAAGTCCTATGGCACTTCTCGTAAAGAGTAGGAGTGTAACCCTGGAGTCCTGGCCAAACTACCTCCATCAGCCCTTACTCATCATGGCCTCTCAATCATCCCCATCCACTGAATTGGCTGTATCACTGTGATGTTCTATTTATATATTTATATTTATCATGTGCTATATAAATAGGATTACTTATATACTTACTATTTGAAAAAACCCTTTAGTTAATCATTCATTAAAACAGGGATTTGTTGCTGCCTAATGGTGGTTTTAATGTCATATTAATTTCTCCACGAAAGTCTTCATACCAGTCACAACACCAGCACAAAAACACTTGAGTGATTGCATAAAGAAACTCATACTTTTTTCAAACAACCAGTTCTTTACCTACAGTTGAATTGAAAACAAACATAGACAGTCCAAATTGAGTGTTGTAACGTTACTAGGTTTTACTGACAGTCTTAGTATCTAGTGGTGTTACAAGCTCTAGAGAATTATTTTTTAAATACATTCATTCATTTATTCATTTTCTTGTCGGCTTAGTCCCTTTATTAATCTGGGGTTGCCACAGCAGAATGAATTGCCAACTTATCCAGCACATTTTTACGCAGCAGATGCCCTTCCAGCCACAACACATCCCTGGGAAACATCCACAAACACACACACACACACACACACACACACACACACACACACACACACACACACACGCACACACGGATAATGTAGCCTACCCAATTCACCTTTACCGCATGTCTTTGGACTCCGTGAAACCGGAGCACCCGCGAGCGCAGGGAGAACATGCAAACTAAGCCGAGGTTCGAACCAGTGAACCAGTGAACCAGCGACCTTCTTGCTGTGAGGCGACAGCACTACCTACTGCGCCACTGCGTCGCCCATTTTTAAATACATTTTACAGGGTAAATATTTGTAAACCCAAAGACCAACTTAAGGAATAACCAATAGTACAAAGTTAACTAACAAAACATGCCGCAATTCCAGCGACATGCAATTTGGCTGTCTGCATCAAACGCAAAGTGACATGACAGAAACATTTAAATACCAGCCTATCCACTACTAAAAAAATAGTAAAGATTTTTAATCTAATTAATACATATTACAACTGTTTAACATTATTAATAGGGTCACTCAGTGACTGATGTTGTTAGTTTGCACAGAGTCTCAGTTCTGACTTTCATTTTCAATCCGTCTGCTAGAAATTTGAATTTCAAGATCTGAGGTGAAGTATCTGCTGCTGCTTTCAGTAGTATGCCAATAAATGTTGCGTAAAATGGTATTTAAACTCACATTGGTAGCATTTAACACAGAATAAAGCACATAATCTACTTTAAAGTGATCATTGTCATAGTAGTTTATGCTGTTGTTCTGCTGGGATACTGCGGAAACAGAAAGATCACAGATGGTTGGCACAAAAACTCCTTTTAAAGTGGAAAAGATAGCTTTCATAACATGTTGCGTCGTGTGTTGTTAGGACACGGTGTAACAGTGGAATCAACCAGCCTGACCAGCCCAAAACCAGCACTTACCAGCCCGAGGTGGCCTTTTCAGTAAGAGAGATGTCACACTTTCAAAGAGCAGCCTTGTTAAACTGACATGAAGCAAACAGCAAGAACACACAGCATGCACGACAGACATCTCTCTTTACAATTACAATTACTGTTGACCTTTAAGATTACCAGCTACACAAAGTATTTATGTGAACTTTGACAATCTAACACTTCCATGGCCAAGTTTAACTTTAACATCATGAGTAACTTGTCTTTAATTTCTCTCTCCACAATGTGTTCTTTAGCAAGTCTCAAGCAGTAGGAAACACTGAGTGTCTAATCTGAAGGGGTCACTGGATCATTCTCTGTGTGGTTATATTATGCCTGAGTGAATATAGAGTTACTTTCTCAGATTAATTACTTGTGAAGGCAGGCAGCTGTGGGAGGGAAAGAGAAAAAGAGAGAAGTAGGCGATGATACCTTAGTTTTCGTGACTGAATTAATTGAAACACGTCGAACTGAAAAACGCTGTTGCTGTTTTAACAGGTCTGGCTATTAGCATCAGAGGTACAGCTAACGTTCATTAGCACAAACTTTCTTTGTGATAAAATTGCATTTGTGTGTGGGTTCTTTTATGATATGAAGAGCTGGCATCAATAGAGGAGGTTAATGAGGTGCTTTGTGCCTTTCAGCTCTCTCGTTTTTCTTGTTTCATGTTAAACCTACAACCCATACAGATCAATGATGGGATTATGTAACATTTCTTATATAACAATTGAGTGTATACCTCCTGAAGTTAATGTTGAAATCATCAATATTTCTGATTTATTAGCATTCGTGCACTGTAAATTATTGCTGCCTTAAATTTCTTAGTTGAATCAAATAAACATTCCATTTTTTAATCAATCAAAATGACTAAAAATATTAAGTTAAACTTTGCATAACTTAACATTTAGTTGAAACCTGATTAATGAATTAAAATAAATAAAAGCAACATAAAAATATTTGTTGTCTTTAATTTTTGTCATTGTATTTTCTACAGTGTATCTTCCTTGTACTTCTTAGTGAACAGCTTTTGCTCCATAAACAACTCATAAAAATCTTGAAAGCACCTGTTATGATTATAGTGAAAATTAGTTAGTCAAATTAAATAACAGTATCTTTGACAAGTGTCAAATAATGTTTCCCTAATGGAAAGATGTTAATCTAAGCAAAAAAAAAAAAAAAACAGTTTTCTGTCCTTGGAAATATTCCTTAGCAATGTATTTGACAATTAAATTAGCATATAAATTGTCACCAACAAGACGAAGAAAAATTATTTTTGTATTACAAACGTCACAATTTTCCTTAAAAACAATATAACCCAGACCCAGACTAATAACAATGTCTTGATTATTGTTTATACTGATGTTACTATTTGCTTAAAATAAAATAAAACAAGATTAAATAAATAAATAAATAAATAAAATACACTCAATCAATGAAAAACCCCATCTATGGGGGAGTGGCACAATAATATTAGAGAAATGATTCCCTTATAATTTCTTATAATTAAAGTTTCATTCTTATGTCCTCTAAGGCTTTTCATAAAGTCTTGACTCTATTGAAGCTTTTATTGAAGCTGTATTTTTATTAAAGCTTGACTTTTATTGAAGCTGTATTTTGAGTTATGGTATGTAA